GGGCCCACAGGCCCTGCATCGTTTCAGCCTAAAAAAAGGCCTGAGCCTTTTTAGCCTGAAACTGAGGGCTATTCTCGGGCCCTCGTCAGACCAACCTGCCCTGATACAAGCAAATTCGGGCATTGGCAGGAGTGACCTGCCCTRAAGCTTCCTCAAGGGCTAGCACGTGCAGGCATTGGCAAGAGCAGCCTCCTGGACGGGCCAGCACTATATAAGACTGGCCCGCCCTACAGGTTGGGAGAGACGAGAGGAGACTGCCCAGGCACTCAACGTGCACTTCTACAGGAGGCAGTAGTCTTCAGGATTCGGCTGCAGTAGTAGAGTAGCGTTAGCAGTAGTCTTCAGCGCTGGGCACTAGTAGCAGTAGACCAGAGTAGTGGAGAGAGGAGGCTGGCGGAGGCCAGGGATGCTTACCTGTGGCGCCATAGCTCCAGCTTCGTCTTCGAGGTACCTGCAGCAGAGCGCCACTCACCGAGTGACTTACCTGAGGCGCCATAGCTCCAGCTCGCCAGCGAGGTACCTGCAGCACAGCGCCACCATCACCGGTTAGTACCTGGCATCCAGAAGAGAGAGAGAGAATTCTTCCTCTTCCCCCTCTCAGTCCACCATCTCTCTCCTACCCTCTCACTATCTGACTTCACTGCTTCGGCAGCCTACAGAGTGAGGGTGGTTTACTTGCAGGGCTACGGGTAGGGGTTGTCACGGGCACTGGCCCAGGATCTGGTTCGACATTTTTGGGCGGACATTTGGTTGGACTTCGGCAATGGACTATTTTGAACTTCGCTATTGCGATCTTAGTCTTCTCCCTTGCCTCCATCTTCGTCCTTCCTTCCCCCCTCCATCTCTCATCCGTGGTATCTCCCCATGTGCGTGTATGCAGGAGGGACCTTCGTCTATGTATGCGGTCCCTTCCCTCCCTCTCACATGTGTGATGTATGATGGGATGTCGTAACAGTCCAGGTCAGGTCAGGACTTATCTCCAAGTCTTCCGCTGTGCTATTAAATGCCATTGTTCATGTATCGGGATGTACACTGTCTGTTGATATTACGTTAGCAGTCCACTGTCCATTCAGTCCTTTTCATCACAATGCGGATCCTTGGCTGAACTCTCAGTGCCCGACTGGGCATGTAACAGTCCGGGTCGGGGTCCAGCGTAGCCATGGTAAACTCATTATGGTAGGTTCAAACCCTACATACCAGAAATTAAGCCATACAAGGCCCATAATAATAAATAAAAAAAACAGAGTTTGATGCTGGCTCAGAAAGAACGGTACCGTCTTCTCCCCCGAACGCAATGCACCCTAATAATGAATGTATTCAAGCTATTTTTCCGGTCCAGTACAACCACTCTGAGGGTGCGTTGTGTTCAGCGGAAGAATATGCTTAACACATGCAAGTTGAGTTCGATAAGCGATTGATTACATAATCGAGCAAAGAAGGAAAGAAAACTTATTCTGCTCCTCACGGTTTCAGTAAGCTGTAGCAATCAATGAATTCAGTCGCTCCAGGCCTCACATCAATTCATTCAATTTTCAATTCCCATTAGCTAACGGTTCAGCGTAGATAAGAGCTGGGATAGTTGGGTTTCACCGTATGGTGTATTGTCTTGTTGACATAGTCGCTACACATCTAGACTTAATTTTATCTGGAGAGAGAAAAGAGAAAGTCGATCTCTCGAACATCGTTTCAATTCAATCACAAGAGATGAAGATGCAGTCCAAAAAGCATCCTTAGGCCCCGATGACAAGCAGCATCCGATGAGAACATACACCCAAAACATCAGCACTGGCTACCTAATTGCTAGTTCCCCCTCAAAGGCCCTTGCGCAAGGCCCCTATCCCAGTGGTGGTAAGAAAACCGCCGGAATTGAGGTTTTGCCTGGTGGGCCGCTCCATCTATTGGTGGGGAGCATCACCTGCCGAAAACGGGGCCCAGCGTCCCTTGAATACACCTTTTTTTTTTGCACAGTGTGAAGACGTCTGCCTGCCAGCATTGATTACCGTGGGTTTCTCAAACTTTTATACTTCTATGTAATAATTTCCATATGGGACGCTGGGCCCCGTTCCCAGCACGTGCTGCTCCCCACGAATAGATTGGAGCCTTGTTTTCAAAAAAAAAAAAAAAAAAAAAACTGTGGGCCTCAAGGGATTGAGTGAGCAGAGTCGG